AGCGTCTGTAGGCAAATGAGATACCAGACTATGATTTCCCTTCCCCTGACTCAACCTCGAGGAAATGGGGGTGGGGGAAGGGCACATGGGGGATGGAGGAATCCGAGCGCAGGGTGGGTGCGATGAAGGCATGAGAACCAGAGCTAATAGGCTGCTCGGGCTCTTTACTCCGCTCTCACTGCTACAGCCCAGACCGCCGGGATCTGTTACTGGGACGCCGGGATCTGTTACTGGGACAGACTCCCAGGGAGCCTTGTACCTTCACGAATTAGAATTGTGACTGCTGTGCCCCTACTGTTTCAGAAATTAGGGAAACAGCTGGGAGTGAGACAGACAGAAATCCTGGCTTGTGCGTCTTACAGACATACTCCTTTCACAAATAATAAATAAAATTTCTGACAGAAACGTTACAGGAAAAATTAGACAGGCAGTCCTAGAAAGAGCGACCTAGGTGTGTGGGGAATGCTGGCAGGGAGTTGGTAGATACCTAAGCCCTGGTCTCTCTGAGGAGATGATGTTTCAGATGAGATCTGGACGATAAGGCGTGTCATACAGAGATCTGAGGAGAGAAAATTCCAGGCAGAGGGAACAGCAACAGCCCAGAGCAGTAACAAGTAGGGTGTGTCTGAGGGACAGAAAGGGAGTGTGGCGAGCACAGTGAGTGAGGGGCAAGGAGCTGAGGGGGGAAAGGGAGCGGGGTCAAGTCATGTGGGCCTTGTGGAAGCAGCTGGAGGAGGACAGCAGGGCTGTGCATCCTTTCTAAAGCCCTGGGGCTTAATGCTATCGATGCTATCACCAAGGGAGAGTGAGGAACAGACAGACAAGAGGACGCCAGGGACACAACCTTAGAAAACAGGAGAGGAGCTAAGGAGAGGGGGTGTCACCGAAGCCTAGGGAGAAAGGGCTTTGAGAAGGGAGCATCATCTTGTCCCATGGGCGTGTGACACGGTAACGACAGAGAGTCACCGGACTTAGCATAAGGAAGGTCACTGTTCACACTGATAAATGATGTTTCATTGCATTTTTTTTTTACTAGATCTTGACTGCATACTTTTTTTAATGTCTCTTTTCACTGTGTGCAGCCCACTGTCCGTGTTTTCGTACCATCGGAAGGATTTCGATATCTGACACAGATATAGAGATTATGGTAGTCCATGTATCGGAGTATGAATGAGAAGTTTCAGAGATCTCAAAACCCAATTGTGTGTTTTAGTACATTTTCATTACTTTCTTTCTCTCCTTTGTAGAAGCGGGGGGACAAAACTTTATACTCCAAATCTAAGCCCCAATCTCCTCAGAGACAGCAGAAAGTACTCCTATTAGGCGTCCACAAAATACCTCCATGCATGTTTTGTAAGCATCTTCTGAGGTGGGTTTCGGGGCCTGCGTACCTGAGAACAGCGCCTGAGGTAATCCAGGGCAGGGAGGCACAGGTCTGGGGACGTGGCTCCGGATCCTGGGACACAGTCTCCGATTTCTTTACAGTCCACCTCCCCTGGGGACAGCAGGGGAGACAGAGACAAATATCGTTTATCCCTTTATAACAGAAGACCTACTTGGTCACACAGCATGTGTTCCCCCAATGTCTACTAACATAGAAAAGAAAGGAAAAATTACTCCAAATTGTACACCACTTTCAGTCAAGTTTCCCCCTACATGTGTACATGTTAAACACATTGGGGATCACTCCGTACATCTTACCTTGTTGAAATTATTCTGTTCTGTAACTCCTCTTTTCACTAAACAATGACCACTTTTTCCATATCCTGCGACAGTACTTTCAGTGGCTGGATGGTGGTTTTTTGTACCTGGACACACTGCGATTTTTCTAATTCACTTCCCTGTGCCCTGCTGTTGATGGTGTGACTCTGAAGCTTTGATGACAGGATGATCCTGGAGACCAGCCATGTGCTGGGCAGAAAGGAAGCACTAGGCCTCTGTTTGGAAAAGGACCTCCTTTGTTGCCAGTGTTCAGCACTAAACAGTGATGATAAAGGAAGACTCTGGGAAGATCGGAAACATCTGGGGTTTGGGGATGGAGACTACTAAATTGAACTGAAATGACTTCTATTTTGTGTGTATATATCTAGAAATTTAACATCTGTAGAGGGCATCTAGATAGTCTACAGGCACACAGTAGTTGGAAATTATCATTTTTCTTCTCATGTACGAATCTACTTCTATACTTTTAATAAAATTATTCCGCAGTACTGTAATTGTTTCTGTCTACAGTTGTAGCAACTGGCACCTTTCCCTGTGGGTAAACAGACATAATTACTAGGTATTAGTTAAAATTTAGCAGACAAAGAGGCATGTTTCTCCTTAAGAAAGAAAAGATAACCATTTGTATATTTTAGATCAGGGACTGGTAAGCTTTTTTTTTTATACAGGGCCAGACAGTAAATATTTTAGGCTTTGGGCTTCCCTGGTGGTGCAGTGGTTGAGAGTCCGCCTGCTGATGCAGGGGACACAGGTTCGTGCCCCGCTCCGGGAAGATCCCACATGCCACGGAGCGGCTGGGCCCGTGAGCCATGGCCGCTGAGCCTGCGCGTCTGGAGCCTGTGCTCCGCAACGGGAGAGGCCACAGCAGTGAGAGGCCCGCGTACCGGGAAAAAAAAAAAAAATTTTAGGCTTTGCAGGTCACACTCTCTTTGTTGCAACTTCTCAACTCTGTCACTATAGCACAAAAACAACCACAGACAAATGACCAGGGCTGTGTTCCAATAAAACTTGATTTCTAAAAACTCTGAGTGGGTGGGATTGGCCTGTGGGCCATAGTCTGCCAACCCCTAGTTTAGATTAACACACCTTACAGTATAAAAACACAGCGCAGTTCAAATTCACGTCGACATAACCAAGTGGGAATAAAAAATAAATCCATTTCCTATCCTGTTAATCACAGTGTTCCAAGTTTTTTACGGAGGCTGCTGTGTCACACATCAAAGTCTGTGCACGGCGCGGCCCCTGGAGGCGGGCAGGACACAGCCAGCGTGGCTGTACTGGGGACTCGGATGTGCCCACTGACCCCAAGCCACAGACAAGTAACTGCACCTTATAATTCACAGAAAAAAATGGAATCTTTCTGTTTTAAATATCCTCAGGTACGCACTGATAATTCTGCATCTCCACTGTCAGGCCCCAGCTCCCTCGCTGAGATAAGATCTCAAATTTCTCACATTTCTACTGTGAAAATTTCTAACATCTCCACTTGCATATTTCATAGAAACTCAATATGTCCCCAGTGTCCAAAGACAGAATCATTATTGTTCCTCTCCTCCACGCCTTCTGGATATCCTAAGCCTGGGAAACGCCAGTCCCGGCAAGGAACTTGGGGACTCAACCTCAGCTCCACCCTCCCTCACGCCCCACGTCGGAGCGGACCCCATCTCTACAATATCCTGACCTCCATCCTCTCTGCTCTCTCCCAAACTCCTGCACACTGGTCTCTGCCTGTAGCCTCCTGTCCTTACCCACAGGGACACGTGCCTGCCACTTTAGTTTCTAATGTCACACGTGATACACCACTCGGTGGCTTCAAAACCTTCCCTGCACATTCTCGATTTTCCGGTGTGGCATGCAGGGCCCTTTAGAGCCTGGCCCCTTCCTCTCTTTCCATCTCATCACCCAGGATCCCTCCCCTTTGTGGTACCTCCAACGTACCCTACTTTTAGAAAAGTAAACCTACAGCAGCTCACACCGCAAAGTTCAAATGTCGCTTTCCCTTTGAAGTCTGCACGGCCCTACTACCAAGCACCCAGTCTCAGCTGCTTGTTCATTTCAGCTTAAACGGCTTTTTTTTTTTTTTCCTAGCCTCTATGAAAATATTCATCTTCCTGAACTGTGACTATTGATTTGTGTGTCTGTTTCCCAGAAGAGGCTATGAGTCTCTCACAGGCAGGAAGCATGTTATATTCATCTGTGTATCCCCATAGTATGCACAGGTCACCACGCCTCCGTAGCAGGCCCTCGACTGTTCACCAAACAACAGAATACCAATAATAATGGTTCTTAAATAAAATATAGGGTTGTGGAATAATGGAAAATACATATGTTGGTCTCTGCCTCTGGCTCCTGGCACAGAGCTCCTAAAACCCTAATTTCCTAAATGGTAAGACTACTAGGCATCTTTTGTTCTAATATTTGATCTTCAACTCTAGCTCCTGATACAGAGCTCCTAAATCCCTTGCAATTTCCTGGGTGATAGTCTTTTGTTCTAGTGAGGCAAAGCTTGGCAAGCTCCCGGACGGGGGCTGGTCACCAGAAAGACCACAGGAAGAAGAGGGGGGCTGGAAATTGAGTTAATGATTGATCGTGGCCACAGGATGAAGCCTCCACAAGAAATCCCGAGAGTATGGCGTTCAGAGAGCTTCTGGGTTGATGAACACATCTACATGCTGGGAGGAGGGTGTTCCCCAACTCCATGAGGGCAGAAGCTCCTGAGCTTGGGACCCTCCTGGACCTCAACTTATATAACCTCTTGATCTGGCTGTTTATCTGTATCCTTTATCATATCTATTATTACATAATAAGCTGATAAATGTAGGCATTTCCCTGAGTTCTGTGAGCTGTTCTAACGAATCACTGAATCCAAAGGATGGGGGGGTCATGGGAACCTCTGATTTGTAGCCAAGTTAACCAGAAGTTCTACTTGTAATTGTCATTTGAAATGGCGGGGGGCAGTCTCAGAGGACCGAGCCCTTCACCTGTGGGGTCTGCTGGTCTAACTCTGGTTGGGGTCAGAACTGATTTGACAATAGGACACCCAGCTGGCATCACAGAGAACTGCTTGGCGTGGGAACAAAGCCCACACATCTGGTGTCAGAACTCTTGGGAGTGAGGCAGTAGTTGAGAGAGTAAAGGAGAAATACAGGAGGAAAGTTTTTTCTAAACAAGGACTGGATTTTTTTACTATCTAAGACAGAGATTCATTACTTTAAGGTATTCTTATGATTAAGATACTAAACTGTTTGGCTTCTATTTCGTGTAGAGCAGAGTTTCAAAAGAATAAAATCTTACTCTGTCTTTCAAAAGAAACCTTCCTCTGAAGCCCAGCATGTAAAGTGGATAAGTGAGGGGCTTTCATGGTTGCCCCTCAGCTCAGCCCTCTATTTCCCAGGGTATACAGAAGCATAGAATGGGTGTATGGAAGAATAGAATATAACAAGGATGGTCTGTGGATCAGACCTGTGGCCTCCAGCTTCTGTATTGAAAACTTGCACTTTACTCCTGCTCCAAAATAAGGGGAACATGAATGAAGTCACCTAGCTTCTCTGTGTCCTATTTTCTTTTACAAAGAAATTGTCAGTTATTTTGCAAGAATACAAAAGAACATTATGAATCTTATATTTTCTTTTTTTAAAAGGTTCTCAAGGCTACAGGTCTCAGAGCACATCAGGGTGAAAATCTCAAAACTTGAAGACTTAAGTTCCTTATAAACTTTGGGTTTAACTAACTGCCACTCCCTTCCATTTCACCCCAGATAAACACGTGTTATACAAACATCTGATCCAGCAGGTTATGCTGTATAGCAAGACGCTACTGTGTTAAAGTATTTCTAAATTAAGCATAAAATCAGCTATGTAGTTCCTAAAACATACAAAGTCTCAAAGAAGCGTGACTTCTACACCTTCAAAATACATTTTGTAATCAGTAAGGTCTGGGGGAAGGCATTTTTAATTTTTGCTTAAGAGCTGGGAACTCAAACTCTAATTAGGCTAATAGACTAATTAAAAGACTTCTAATTATGTGACACTGAGGACAGTAGTTTCCTGTATGAGGGTAATTATTGAAAATAATATTGAATATTTTAAGATTCAAAAAGAAGTTGGAGTAAAATCATATATGAAGACATGTTTCATTATAAAATTATCCCATGAACACAATGAAAAGTATCAACCCTGGACAGAATCCAAGCTGCGCTTACAGTAAGCTTTGTGCTTCTGAGCGCACAGCATAGTGCCATCTGCTTCTATACCGGGATGCTTGCTTGCTTGCTGCAGCCAGTTCACACGGAGCCATCCAGGAGACGGTCCCCAGCTGTCAGGAGGCAGGAAAGGAGGGCTCCACTTACCCAGTCCTTTGACAAACTTCATAAGGCACATGATGTAACTAGTGGCCGCATTAGCAAAGACCTGGATGTTGTCGGTATTGAGAAAAGCTTCGAATACATCAAACACCGGAGCCTGGCCTTTTCCTGAGGGAGGAAGATTATAGAGTTTTAAGAAAGTTAAGTCTCCACCCTTCAGGTTGCCCATACTCCCAGCACCTTCCACAGAGCCTTAAAAAAGGTCTGTTGGAGAAAAGCCTGGGCCTTTTGACTGGATAACTGGCTTGGCTCCCATGCTGTCCTTCTCAGCTTTGCCTGCAGAGGGAGCTGTAGGAAGGCTATGAAGAGAGCTCGGTAGAGGGGCGAGGGCAAAGCCGGCTGAGGCTATGTGTAGGTCTACACGGGGCAATTAAATATGTGGTCTTTTGGAATTCTCCTCTACACATAATTATAGGGAAGGGAAGGTTTAGAGAAACCCCCGATGGCATATACTAATTTATTCATACCTGAGCCGATAGGAGTTACCATAGAAGGCTTAAGGCTGCTATCCTTAGAAAGGCCTGCTTGCGCAGTGGGCCCTTGGCTGGAGTCTGGGAAGCCGGCTCTCAGAATATTCCCAAGCAACAGTTAACTGGATGGTTCACTGTGACTAGATGGTTGGTGCAAACAACGTGGTTTAATCTGAACCCCTGCTTTTTTTCAGGGAGTATGGATTTTGGAATATGCTAGGCAGAGGGTACCTAAGTGACCAGCCCTTAACTGGGTCTCTAGTGGGCTTCCCTGGGCAGAAAGACCTACACACTGCCCTACGGTCATACATGTTGCTGCACTTTCCCTGCTGGAGGAAGAGTGTGCTCTGTGGGACCCCCTCATGGGACGGTGAGAGCTCAGGGAAGCCTGTGCAGGGATTCTGTGTTTTCCCCTTATGATCTGGCTTGTCCTTACTATGTTGCCATAATAAATCTTGGCGGTTAGCCATGTAATAAATCTGAGCTATGTAATAAATCTTGGCATAACTACATGCTGAGTCCGAGGAGTCCTTCTGATGGGTCTCTAAGTGCAGGGGTAGTCTTGGGGACCCCTGACACAACACCTCCGGTCACTGGGCCTGCTGTATGGCTGCCCATCTATTTCCAGCCAGACCTGATCTCCCTAATTCGAACTCCCTGTTATTTGGATACTTTTTGCTTCTTCCTAGCAAGCAGATAACATTTTTCTTCTGGCTTTACGAAAGAACTGAACACAGATACGTATAAGTGAAACAACAGAAGTCTCTCAGCCTTTTGTCCAATCTGTAACTGAGAGCTGGGCCTGATAACGCTCAGGGCTCTTGGTCTGCTGGCAGAACTCAGAACTTGTGTTCCTGATACTCCAGCTCATTTCCTGCTGCTAAAACAGCTGAATGCCAGTCTTCCCTATTATCCAACTTCTTTTTTAAAAAAATTTATTTATTTTTGGCTGTATTGGGTCTCTGTTGCTGTGCAGGGGTTTTCTCCAGCCATGGCGAGCAGGGGCTACTCTTCGCTGAGGTGTGTGGGCTTCTCATTGCGGTGGCTTCTCTTGTTGTGGAGCACAGGCTCTAGGCACGTGGGCTTCAGTAGTTGTGGCGCACGGGCTTAGTTGCTCCACGGCATGTGGGATCTTCCCGGACCAGGGCTCGAACCCGTGTCCCCTGCCTTGGCAGGTGGATTCTTAACCACTGAGCCACCAGGGAAGCGCTATCCGACTTCTTTTGATAGCATGAAGCTTGGCATAAAGAACTAATGCTCCATAGCCAGAATCATCCACATGTTCTTCCCACTATCACTACTCCTATTCAACATAGTACCAGAAGTCCTAGCTGGAGCAATTAGGCAAGAGTAGAAATAAAATACATCCAAATTGGAAAGGAAGAAGTGACACTGCCTCTTTTTGACGATGACGTGATCATGTATACAGAAAGTCTTAAAGATTCCACCAAAAAGATTCCACTCAAAAACCTTAGAGCTATAATAATTATGGTTTAGAACTAATAAACAAGTTTCAGGATACGAAATCAACACACAGTCTTACCCATGGAGTAGTCACCGACCAGGTACTCCTTCACCTCAGACTTGTCCCCACTGTGCACTGTTTCCAGGGCACTGAACAAGGGCCTCCAGCCCGACTGGATCTGGGTGGAACACACTTCAACCAGCTCACCGATGGATGTGATGACCTGCAGAGGCAAAGGAGGTGGCATTTAACGCCTTTTCCTTCTAAGAAGCAGGCGAATTTCTGGGAAGAATGATGTGCTTCTCTGCTCCCTATTTCTGGGTTAATTTTAGTGAAGGATAAAAATCAGAACCTAGAAAAACTCGCTGAAAAGTCTTCTAAATAAGAAGCCGTACCACATTAATATGCATTTTACTGATGACTAATGTTGCTAAAACTTTTCACAAGCCATTTGTAAATATTTTGGTGTTTTTGAAGTTAGGTTTTTGTCTTCTCATTATTGTCTTTTTTTTTTTATTGAGTTATTAAGAGTTCTTTGTGCATTCTAAATGTAAGCCCTTCCTGAGATACATGATATGCACATTTTTTTTCACAGCTTTGGGCTTCTCTTTTTATTTTTATATGGTGTCTTTTGAAGAGCAAAAGTTTTAAATTTTGATGAAGTCCAAATCATCAATTTTTTTCTTTTTATGGATCCTGTTGGTGTCATTTCTAAAGAATCTTTGCATAACCCAAGGCCTCAAAGATGGTCTCCTATGCTTTCTTGTAGAAACATTTATAGTTTTTGCTCTTATTTAAGCCTATGACACATTTTGAGTTATTTTTTGTGCATGGTAAGAGGAAGGGTGTAAGTTCATTTTTATTGTATATGTTCAAGCACCATTTGCTAAAAGTAATATCCTGTCTCTCTACTGAATTGCAATGACATCTTTGTCAAAAATTGACCATACATGTGAGAATTTATTTCTATACTTTCTATTCAGTTCCACTGATCTATAGGTCTACCAATACCACACTGGACTGATGACTGAAGTTTTAAAATCGGGTAGTGTAAATTCTCCAAATTCGTTGTTCTTTTTCAAATGTGTTTTCTCTATTCTAGATGCTTTAAACTTGCATAGAAATTTGAGAATCATCTTCCCAATTTCTTCAAAAAGGTCTGCTGATATTTTGATAGGAATTGCACTGGATCTATATATCAACTTGTGGAAATCTGCCATTTAAAAAATACTGTCTTTCAAGCCATGAACATAGCATATCTCATAATTTATTGGAATATTCTTTATTTTTTTCTCAGCAATGTTTTGTAGCTTTCAGTGTACAGGTATTTCACGTCTTTTGCTAAATTTATTCCTAAATATTTTGTTTTCAATGCTCTTGTGAATGGAATTGTTCTCTTAATTTCAATTTTTGATAGCTTACATCTTGAATATAGGAATTCAATTGATTTTAATACATTGTTTTTGTATCCGGCAACCTTGCTAAACTCACACTTTTTTTAATTTATTTTTTTGGCTGCGCTGCATGGTATGTGGGATCCTAGCTCCCCGGCCAGGGATTGAACCTGCACCCTCTGCATTGGAAGCACAGGGTCTTAACCACTGGACTGCCAGGGAAGTCCCAAAACTCACTATTAATTCTAGTAACTTTTAAAATAAATTCCTTAGGATTTTCTACATATAAGACCATGTTGTCTATGAACTAAGACAGTTTTACTTTTCAAAATTGGATGCCTTTAATTTTTTGGTACAGTGAGTAAAAGTCATAATGTTCAATAGAACTGGTAAAGATGGAAATCTTTGCCTTGCTCCTAATTATTGGGAAAAAGCATTCAGTCCTTGACCACTGTGTAGTGTGTGATGTAAGATTCTCAAATACTCCCTTTATCCAATTAGGGAACTCCCTTCTATTCCTCATTTCTTGAAAGTTTTTTATTTAAAATGAGTGATGGATTTTGTAAAATGTTTTCTCTGTTCTCTTAAGATAACCATAGGGTTTCAATCCTTTATTCTACTAATAAGATACATGACATTAATTGAATTTTGAGCTGTTAAACCAATCTTACACTGATTCTTTCTTCTGCCATCTCAAATCTTGCTGGTAAGATTTTTCATTTGTTATTGTCCTTTTGTTATTGTTATTGTCCTTTTCAACTCTAGAATTTGCATTCTTTCAGTTTCCATTTCTCTACTTAGATTCCCTATTTTTGAGTCACTGTCATCATATTTTCCTTTAATTCTTTGAACCTATTTATGATAGCTGCTTGAAGTCTCTGTCCCCTAATCCAACATCCCAAGCCAGGGCCAGGACCCAGTGAACAGAACCCTCTTCCCACCATGTGCACCAGATTTCTTTGGCTAAATACTTTGTAATTTCTACCATGACGGCATCATTGTAGAGGTCACCAGCTCTTCTAGATCCTGTGTCTGCTTGTCTTCCCACCTCCAAATCTGCATTTTGGATAGATATAATCCTGGTTTTAGCTTAATCCAACATCTGGTCTCACTCTAAGTCAGTTTCTATTTATTGTTTTTCCCCCAAGTATACATCACTGTTTCTTATTTCTTTGCATATCTCACTTTTTTTTTTTTTTGCTGAACATTGGACATTTTAGATAATATATTGTAGCAATGCTGGATTTATTTTTGAGTTATTTATTTATTATTTATTTAACTAAGTTGCTTGGACTTACACTGTAGAATCTGTCTCTACTCTTCCCATGGCATGAGGCACCAATAATGTCTCTACTCAATTTCTTTATTTTTATTTTTCAGCCTGACTTCCTAGTGCTGTCCCCGTGTCTGCATAGGTTAGTTGTCACTTGATGAAGTAGGCAGAGATTCTGCTTAAATACCTTGAGCCTTTAAGGCTTCCACCCTCTGCCAACCAATCTGTGTGTGCAGGCTGGGGAGAATATACAAAGTTCAGCCAGTTCCTAAGTCTCTCTGGTCTTTTACTTTCTGATGGGATCTGTACGGTCTATCCTATATATGCCCACATTTCAGTCAGCTAGAGATGGATGCATGACGGACTTACCTAGTCCTTCTATGAAATCTCTGGCTTCCAGAGTCCCACGTTACATTTCTTACTGGTTCACCACTGCAGCCTTAGGCTAGCAAAGTTGTAGTATTATTCTATTGCTCATTTCCTAATGAATTCACCACTTTTAGTTGACAGACCAATGGTCTTTTTTCCTCTTCTTCAAACCAAGTCTGTCACTTAGTGCAGAAAAGCTGATTTTCCCAGTCAGCCCCACACTGGTCAAATTACTATTCTTGCCAACAGCTTGTAAGTGATGACTTCCATCTTCAGCAAGAAGGTCACAGACTCCCACTGTTCTTAACCAAAGTTCTGGCAAGAACTATTTTTCACCATAAATGCTACTCAATTTGTTGTCTGCCCTTGGTCAATTGCAAGAGTCCTGAAATGGCTGCTTTTGACAATATTTTTCTCTTCGTATACTTGATTTCTGTGGAGAGGATTCACTAACTTCTTCATGCCACCACAGACAAAATTCTTCCTGTCCTAAATCTTTCTGAACATTGTTCAGAACTTAATAAGCATAGTTATTTTAAAGTCAGTCTCTGATAACTCCAATATCTGGATTCCTGGTGGGGAGTTAGGGACAATGTGTGTGTCTATTTTTATTATTTTATTTCTGTATTCATGACATTCTATTTCCTAATGAGCCAATTATTTTAGATTGAATGCAGACATTCAGCTTCACCCAACGGCCAATTCCCTCATGGCCAATCCAGTCTCAGAGCTCTGCTTACTTCTTTGGGCTTCCCACTGTTACTCAGTTTGGGGCATCTTAGTATTCCTTACTTTCTTGCCAGTGTGTACATGATATTTAAAATAAAACTTTTAACCCTTGTTTAACATTTTTAGTAGATTTCAGAGACAGAGAATCTGTCTGTGTTCCTAGCCCACCATCATGCTAGATAAATATGAAGTCTCTAACTAGTTTCTTTACCACCTGTCTCTCCGTAGAGAATATGATAGTGGTTAAGGGTATAGGCTAGGTATGAGAGTATAGACTATTACAGCTAGATTGCCTGCTTCAAATCCCACTTCCACCAATCACTAATCACGAATCCTTAGCTAAATTCCTTAACCTCTTCTTGTCACAGATTCCATATAGGCTTATTGGAAAGATGAAATATGCAGCACTCACAGAACAGTCCTGCCAGTGCACTCAACAAAAGCCAGCAGGCTATGGCAATGATGGCAGCACTGCTACCGCAACACACTGACCTGGTCTTGGACATCCTCGTCACACAACTCCAGCTGCATGATACGCTCAAAAGGTCGGAAGAGTGCTTCATTAAAGTGAAAATGAGGTGGCTCATTCCAGTCAGTGAGAACCTCCGTCAGTATATCATGGATGAAAGAAACTGCCTTCTGAGACACATGTCTTTCCTTATGGCAGGCAGCCTGCAAAATTCCGAGAGTCAAACACCCTCAGGACTTCAAGCAACTAAGAATCTGGTTTCTGAAGGTCTTCCTAACACACCTTATCGTAGTGAGGTGGAAGCAGCAATTCTGCTAAAGTAAAAGATTTCAAGGGATAAGTAACAATGAACAGCAAACTAAATTACATTTTAAATAATTTAACCAACTGATCAGACACATCTCCAATTTCACTTTGAAGTTTCTGGAAAAATAAGAGTTTCTAATAATTTCTTCTTCTTTTTTCCTGTAACGTGACTGTTTTCTTGGGTGGTACAGAACAAGCTGACTAAAGACACCGGAACCTAGTCTGGAAACCACCCATGGTCTCATTGTTAGCCATGCCCCAAACATATGAAGATCAGATGCGACATCTGTCCCTCAGGGATGTGGGATGATTGCATCAATACACCTTTAATTGGCTCACATCTTTGTATCCGTGTCCTTTAGCGGTCCTCTTCCACACCGACCCTGGGCTTGGATGTGTGACTTGCTTTGAATAATGGAACAATAGCAAATATTATGTAAGTAGAGAATTGAAAAGCAATTCTGATTTGGGGTTTGCCCTCTTGCTTTCCTTTGGAATCCTAAGAATGCCATGTGACTGAGCCAGGGCTAGTCTGCTGGAGGAGGAGAGACCACACAGAGAGGACCATCATCTGCCCAGGCTTACCAGTCATGAACCACCTGGCCCCAGTCTTTGCAGAGGCTGACCACAAGTGAACACATAAGGCCAGCTGAGATTAACCAAGCCTGGCCCAGACTAGAAAGCTGCACAGCTCAGCTCAGAGAATCATGAGCTAAATAAACAGTTATTGTTTTAAGTCACTAGGATTTGGGGGTGGTTTATTATAATATAATACATAACTGATATACTGTTTCTCCATAACTATTTTTTACCCCCTTTCCTTACTAGAATGTTCTCAGGTTAGTAAATTTATTTCCCAAAAATACTTTATTTTATGACAAAGCTCTACCAAGTAAGTGCTAAAGGACTATTTGGAATAGTTATCACTGTGAAACAGGGCAACAATTTCCCCATCAACTTAGAAGTAGCCAGTCATCATGTATCGACATGCTTAGATGGAGTTACCATATAATTTATCATATGGACTGCTTTCTTTTGGAGAGTCAAAGGGGTCCTAGTTAATTTTGTTGGGAAAACCAGGATTTATGGTTCCCCTACTTAGAATGCACTGCCCAGAATATGTTTAGCTATTAGAAAAGAGAGCCTGGCAGGAACAAAAGACATTGCTATATGCATGTATAAAAATGAAACTCCAGACTTAGGTTGATAGCAGACCATGAAGTATAAGAAAACGGCAGTGTGACGTGTCTAGGTGAGTCACATAGTTTTAAAGAAAGAGGGTCAGAGTGACACCAGGAAAGTGCTGCCCTTTGCGGCAATTCTTTAGGTGCCATAAGGTATAATCAGAGAACAATGATGCTTACGACCAGGTGATGGGAACCTTACTGCTGTGGCCACAGTGCCCTTTGTCCCATGCTGACTGGAGAGCCCTGTGCTGGCTCTGCTGCAGGAGGCCCCTGGACTTCCCACTTTCCAGGTGCTCACCTCCACCAGGTGTGGCGCCACAAGACTCCAGCAGCGCATCACGTGGAACAGGGGCCTCGATTTGCTCTGCACGATCCTCAGCATGGCGTCCCCGAGGCGGAACAGGTGGAGGGCACTTTTTCGGTCTTGGGTGGATTTCACTTCTCCTACAGGAAGGTAAGACCATGAAAGCCATCAATCCAAAACTCAGAAATAGTTTGACCTGTTCAACCATGGAGAGAGGATGAAAATCAAAGAGCCACACTCAGATCAGTGGGATTATTCGGTATGAATTTGCCAAGACAGGACAGGAGCCTGGATTCAAGAAAGAACAGGTGATTCACTTAACAAAGCCAGGGCCCACCTCTCCTGTTCACTGTAGCATCCCTGACATTTACACTTGGCAGGCAAACAATGCTTGTTGATAAGGAGAAATGATGTTGTGGTTAAGTAGAAGGGCCAGGGAATCGGCTACCTAGGCCCAAATCCTGGCTCCATCATGTAGTGGTTGGGTTACGATGGACCAGAAGTTTACCTCTCTAATCCACATTTTCTCATTGTAAAAGTGGGGATAATAGTACCTACTTCTTAAAGTTACTTCAAGGATGAAATGTGATAATGCTCGTAAAGTACTTAGCACAGGGCCTGGCACAGACTACTTGCCCTACACACTTAGTTATATTGTTACTGTTGTTATCGTCCCCATCCTTTACAGCCACCATCCACTTGGTCAATGCTTAATGGTACCTCTGAAGCCCTTGCCAAGTAGGTCGGGCCCCTTTGCACCCAATAACACGCGATCTAACGTCTCTCTTGCTTCCGTACAACACTTGCCTACCCGGATCTCTTGCTACGTCTCTGCCACTGCCACTCAGTCTCCTCCGCTCTCTTTCTGCCCATGTGTTCCTGCTTCTCCCAAACACCTACAAAATACGGATCACGATCAGCCTCTTCCAACCAGAATGTGCCTTTCTAAGTCGTCTTGCTGTATCAAATAAACTTCAAGATGACATACCAAAAAATCACTGACATTTACTGATTGTTTACTCTGCATCAGACATTGTGTTGGCTCTTCGTGTCTTTAATCCCTTTTATTTTTATTCAAGTATAGTTGATATACAATGTGTTAATTTCTGCTGTACAGCAAAGTGATTGAGTTATACACATATATACATTCTTTTTTATATTCTTTTCCATTATGGATTATCATAGGATATTGAATATAGTTCCCTGTGCTACACAGTAGGACTTTGCTCTTTATCCATCCTGTATATAATAGTTTGCATCTGCTAATCCCAAACTCCCACGCCATCCCTCTCCCACCCCTCACCTTGGCAACCGCAAGTCTGTTCTCTATGTCTGTAATCACTTTAATTTTAAAAGCAACCCTTAAGAAGTAAATGTAACTACTGCCATGTACAGATTAGAAAACTGAAGATCAGAAAGGTGAACCAACTTGCCTAAAATGACGCAGCTGGTAAGTAGTGAAGGCAGCATTTTAATTGGATCTGATCGATTCCAAAGCCAATGCTTCTTCCCCCTAGGTCTGCTGCCTCTTCCTGACCCTCACTGCTCATTGTTTTTTTGTAAGCTCGGAGTCTGCTGATTTCTCCATGCAGAAGACTGTGAAAGTGGTCCCTGGGCTCAGAGATGCTCTGGCTGGATCTGGGAGGTTGGCTTTATATAGCTAAGGTTTTAAAGTCTATTAAAAACTCACGGGAAAGGACTAGGGTTCTCAAATTAGAATCTGCAGTAAGAATCAAAATTCCTGGGGATGGAAGGAACTCAGAGGTTGTGCACTTCAACCTGCCACCAGTGCGATCCTGGCACACGGCTCTGTGACTCTGCCATGGGGACAAGGTACTCACTATTATAGCACAACAACCCTGGCTGCTGATGGACAGCTGCGTTTGTGAGCAACCTGCCACCCACTTGGGATGCCTGGGTGATTCAGTACAACTCCACCACGTCTTCCACGTGCTGGCCTTCAAGAGGGCCTTCATCTGGCCTCATCCGTGAAGACAGCGATACTGACCCACTGTTAAAGGGATATGCCATGAGAGCAGTTTTTCTAAGAGTGGCCTGAGGCTTCTGTCAAGCCTTCCATTTTTCTCTCCCAGGCCCTTCTGAAATTAGAAGCTGTTTCTGCAAGCAGGCTGGAGTAAGGCGGGTATGTGCTTTGTGATACGGAGAGGAGTTCCTACCCTCATGTGAAGCTATCTGCATCCTGAGGAGCCACACCGTTTCTACATCACAAGCACAAGATTTAGCAGAACATAGTCCAGCTCCAGCGGTAATACCTGCAACAGTGGTGGCAGCAACATTTCCATTCACAAAGAATGGTACCCCGCGTAAACCGCCAACCCCCATCTGCCACGATCGTGCCTCAACACCAGATGACAAATTTTCACTCGAGCCAAGGTGACTGTGTACGAAGGGAATGTGGGTTCAAGTCTTTAGGGCAGGCTGTTGGTATCAGAGATCTGGGCTGTTTCCTGCTAACCTCATGGCACAGTTTCTGCCGGGAAAGAATTACCTGGCATTGCCAGTGAGTAATCAACCGTTTCTGTAACGGAATGGAAAAGCTGGGACTGCGATGCTTTCTTCAGCTGGTAAAGAAAACCTCCCAGAGCCATGAGGTTCAACTTATCTGTAGCATCTTCAAAGAGCCTGGATGAAACAAAAAGACTTGTTACTTGGAAACAATTCAGCAAAGTCTTTATGGCAGAATGATTATGGTAATTTTCTTAGATGTGATTAATGAAAATGTGTAAACACTGTAAAGAAATGTACAGTATTATATCTGTATTATGTATTATAAATGCATAATACATTTATATAATAATGTATTATATAAATATATTAAATAATACATTGATATAATAAACGTATTATATGTATTATATAATAATGTATTATATCTCTTATTACTGAGTACAAGTCTACTCTAAGATTCTAATCTGAAGGGCACAGACCATATTTAAAAAAATAATCTTTTGTAGCTCCATGGCCTAGCTCAGCTGAGATGGGCACTCATAAAACATTTGGCAAGAAGTTGAAAGATGGCAAAGCATCGCTCCCAGAAACTGAAAAACTGGGAATGCAATTCTTACAATTAGCTTCAATTTCATAAGCTATGTTAAAGAAAAAACGCAGCAAGTTAATCAAGGCTTTTGTTGGGCTACAACTGGCGAGTTTAATGCTGGGCTTGGCTCTGAGGAGGATTCAGAAGCAGAGTAAACTTGATCTGTAAGCCCCCCAGGGGCAGGGACTGACCTTCTTACCCCTCTGACTCATACACCCAGAACCCTGGACATGGTGAAGCTCAAGTATGTACTGGAATAATGAATATTCCCTAACATAAAGGACTTTGCAGGTTCTTTTTGTTTTCCACTCTGTTGGGCACAGACATTTCTAGAAGGAGTTAGGGAGAAGGAGGTAAGCACAGGTAGCAGCGCTTAGAGGAGGCTCAGAGGCTCACTGGCACTTGGAATGTTGGGATCAAACACCGGTTTATGTGGCACATGAGGAATGAGGCGAGCCAGCCTCCCTCTGCTCTGGGGTCATCCTGATGCCTGCCCTCCAAATCCGTGGTGACACCAGAAGAGCAAGCAGCCCTATGGGGTGCCATGTTCTGGGTAAGGGAGAGTGTCTCCAATAGGAACCGAATAACAAAGCCCTTGTGAAGGGATAATACAAGGCACTCAAGTTTTAAGATGGGAATCAGTGGATTAATCGTTCACAAATTATCTAAACAAATATATTTTTCTTGTGTTTTGTAATTTCACCCCCACTTGGTTTCTGGATCCCATGAATCACTTCTTCTTCCTCTTTCCTAGTAGGAAAAGAGTGGTGAATATTATATCCCATCTGACACCTGTATACCACTTTCCAGCTTCCCAAACACTTTCACAGCCACCCTGTTGGACAGACGGGAAAAAGGGATTATTATACCAAATTAGTAGATGAAGAAACTGAATCTCAGTGCAACTATTTACACAGACTCAACCCTGCAGTTGCTTGGTGTCAAAGCCGGGAATGAACTCGAGTCTTCTGAGCCCAGCCAGCGATGCTCCTCCCACATCTCTACGCCCTTGCTGTCCATCCTCCCATGTGAACTTCACTGCGCCTGTGCTGGGTCGTCTGGGGCACAGCCGCCAAGTGTGGAAGAGTGAAGTGGGATGGTCTCCAGGTGAAGGTGACCAAAGCACTTTCCGCATCAAGAAGGGCCACCTCAATTCAGAAAAGCAGATAACAGGAAAGAGGGTGCTCATTCTTGTCTAGTTTCATGTGCAGCCACAGGAACAAGTAGCCAAATAATCACAATATATTATCATTTGTACACAGCTCACAAATATTAGTACATTATTGTAATTTTGCACAAGCAGAAAGAAAAACCTTTTTGAAGACAAATTGGGACAAATGTTGACTTTAGCCTTATTATACTAGGGGAACAAATGGTATCTATTAGTCTTGCAATAATTCTTAAATGTTTTAAGATTGCATTTTCTCTAATAAATATGCTTTTTTTTTTTTTTTTGAAAAGAAGGAGGACCACCTAACAGTTGGAATTACTGTTGATTCCTCCCTCTACATTTTTTTTTTTTTTTTTTTTTTTTTTTTATGGTACGCGGGCCTCTCACTGTTGTGGCCTCTCCCGCTGCGGAGCACAGGCTCCGGA